CCATCTACTCGGACCCCATCTAAGAGGCCTAGAATGTCTGGACTCCTTTCAGGCCCCGCTCCACCGCGCTACGGTGCATAGCTTGTCGGCTCCGAGGTTAGAAAAACGATGCACCGTACCCTTGATGGGTGGAGGATCAACGACGCCTCGGGGGATGCCAACGTGCCAACGCGGCACGGTACGCAAGAGTCGCTGCCGAACCTGGACACGTCCGTGCGCGGTCCCTTCCTCTTCGGGCCCGAGCCCTCTCGGGCGTCCTCGGGGGCGTCTCGGATTCTGAACGTTCCCGTCTCCAGGCTCCAGGAACGCACACTTCAGAGTAGGACGAGGAGTAGGACGAGGACGAGGAGGAGGAGAATCGTAGACGGCCCCTCCCGCCCCGAGTCGGCCTGCCTCGATGTTCTGTGCACGGACGTTGTTCCACGCCTTTGGCCTGCAAGGGGCCCGTCTCGGCCCCAGGGCCGTCAGGCATCGACCCGAAGTGAGATGTCGGGGGCGCCCGAGAGGGGGGCGTACAATAAGGGGGTTCGCAAATCACGGACCGAGGTACGTCCGCGGACCAGGGGGAGACCAGGGGACGTATTGAAATGAGTATGGGGGGGGCGTGAAACCTGGGGAGATATCATGGCTCCGGCCATGGTATCCACCCCCCCAAATCATCACCTCCCTCTTGGACCCACGGACGGGTCCAGGGGCAAACTCTGAACGAGTGTGGACGGAAAGTGAGAGCCGATGCGGGGGGGCGACCCGGGTACGCAGGAAAAGCTCCTGCGCACACACCAACACCAAGCCCGGGCAAGGTCATCCTGGGCCCTGGCATGTGCCCTCGTCGCCTAGGCCACGAGACGTACACGCCGCCCCATCCGGGCGACTCAAAGAAGCAGCCCTGTTCCTCAAGGATATGGCGGCCTCACGCGGTGACTTACGCGGGCCGCTAATGTGGCACACCAGGCGAAAAGCAGGGCGCCCACGCGCGACTTTACGCGGGGAGATTGCGTGCCAATGTCCGAGAAAATCGCTCCTCCTTGTAAGGTAGCTCAGTTCGGCCGTGCGTCAGGGATGCCTATTGGGTGCCCCAACGTGGCGTGGTTCAGTCAACCCGTTCGGAGGGCCAAATTGACGCTTTTCGAACGAGGTTGGCCAGTGAAAGTCGCTAAGGATGGGCCGAAGGGGCAAGGATGCAAGGGTACCCGTGGGAAGGTTGTCCATCCTAACTATGCGAATTGACTGTGCCGTCCTCCACGTTTCCTCCAACCCCCACCCAGCTGCGCTTCAGGGTGGTCCACACGGCGGTGGTTCCACCCTCCTGCGTGGCACCATCCCCCGCGGTCTCTGGATCCCTGGGGCCACCGAACGCTTCCGTGATCCTTTGGCCCCCAGGCCTCGGATCGAGGGCCCCTGGGCACAATGAAATGCTACGCTGCGCGACGGTAAGCGCCACGATACGTAATGTACAACGATACAATGTGCACAGCAATGCTGTGCTATACAGAGGGGCCAGCGCGACCCTGAAACGGGGGCCTTCTTTCATGCAACGCAGCGAATTCAACGGAAGCAATTCTGAGCATGCACAACCATGCAGTGCAAGGAAGTGTTTGGCATTGCTTGGTATTGATGTACGTTGTTTGGCATAGTTCGGCATTGCCTGGCATTGTTCGGAATCGTTGATGGGCATTGCTTGGCGCTGTTTGGCATGGCATTGCTTGGCATTGATTGGCATTGATTGGCACAGGCTTGCATTGCTTGGTTTGCATGGCGATTGTCAATTCTTGGAATTCCGTGGCATTGGTTGGCATGTGTGCCACTCCGTGGCACTGCTTGGCATTGTTTGGAATGTTTTGCACTTGTTAGCGTTGCTTGGCATGGTTTGGCAGTGCTTGGCATTGCTGGGCACAGCTTGGCATTGTGTTGCATTGCTTTGCGTTGTTTGGCATTGCTTGGAATTACTTGAAATTGCTTGGCATTGTTTGCAATTGCCTGGCATTGCTTGGCCGTGCGCCGTGCACGGGTAGAACCCGGGCAACCCCAAGCAATCCCAGGCAACCCCGAGCAACCCCGGGCAACCTCGTGTAACCTGAGGCAACCCAGGGAAACCCCAAGGAACCCTGGACAACCCCGGGCAGCACCAGGCAGTCCTGAGCAACCCCAGGGCCTAGGCAACCCCGGGCAACCCCGAAGAACGCGTGCGGGGAAAGACCCCGCACCCACCGGTTTCGCCTCATTGCGGAGAAGCGCTTGGTCACAGTACGCAGCGAAAGCATACGCATTCAGTTGCTGCGTAACGGTGATATGCGATTCGCAGGGCTACGCCATGCCTGGTATGACATGCAAACACATGCACGATTACACAACGCTATGCCATGCTACGCCGTGCTACGATTGGGAACGTCATGCCGCGCAACGCAAGGCACTGCCAATCATTGTAACGGCATGCTACGATAAGAGATGCAACACTCTCGGTATACGCCACGCATTGCAATGATGATGAGAGGTGCCATCATGAACTACTTATTGTCCAACAAAAGATTGCGCACCTCTGCAACGACTGTGCCACCCGAACGACTGTGCCAATAGGGGTGCCCTCACACAGCATGGGGCGATAAGCAATGTTATGAACTAAGGTGCTACGTTACGTCCGATACTCCATGTGCAGATGAAAGGCGCTACGGGTTACATGACGTACGCGCTACAACAATCACACACGCGCTAGAAACCCGCGCGCATCTGGCGTGCGCGCTAGGACTCTACTTCGGCGCTTGTGTTCGCAGTGGACACTTCATGCTGAAGCACGCAGGTGGCTGGGCGCGCCCTGCAAATAAGACGAAACCCAAATGAGGATAAAATCGGGTGAGGATAAATCGAGATCTCTGAGATCCTGCGACTCAGGAGGATTTCTCGGGCGCCGCGGCATTCTCAGAGGGTTCCGGAACGTTCTGAGAGCATTCTGGAACGCTCTTGGACGGATTTATTATCCTCGTCCCAGCCCTGTCCGAGCAAACCCCGCTGTCTCCCCGCACAAAATCGCGGCCACGCGGCGGCAGCGTCCGCGAGCGGCCCAATGTGCCGGCCACCGTGCCCGCCCTCGCCGCCGATCTCCCCGCGAGAGGTCAAGGCCTCTCTGCTCAAAGTGAAACGCGAAGCACCAGCATGGGCAGAAGGGGGGCCAGCGGCGAAACTGGTGCGCGCCTTGCTTCGGACTCGGCCCGACGGAGTCGGCCGCACCTCACGCGACACTCGGCGGCGAGCGAGGGGGGGAAGTGAGAAGGGGCGGGCCTTCTCGGAAGGCTCGGAATTCCCCCAGCATTCTGAGAAGCTTTCCAAGCCTTCCCCGAAGACAGACAAAAACCTGTCAGAAGGCGCGAGGGCTTCTGAGAAGTCCCGCCGCCTCCTGAGAAGGCGTTCTCCTTCTCACTTCCCCCCCTCGCTCGCCGCCGAGACAACCTGCGACCCTGGGCGGCGTCTGCGCCAACGGACGCGGAGGACGGCAAGCATCGTCAGCGCACGGCCATGGGCAGGCCGGGAGGCGTCCAGCCGCGCGGGCCGTCGCGGCCACGCAGAGGCCGCCCCGTCTAGCTCCGGGGAGCGCAGAAACTCTCCCCCTGTGGACTCCCTGAGAAGCCTGCGGGACCGGTCTGCGGGGCCCAGCTCGGACGCGAGTTCCTCGAGGGACTTCGTCCTGCTGGACCGCCGCGGCGACCACAGGCCCTCGTCCGGGAGGCGACTCTTAGCGACGCCGCTCCTTGGCCCGAGACACCCTCGAATCGCCCCGCGGAGCCACTTCCCAGCGCTTGGCACAACCCAAGCGGCAGCAGGAGCGGCTGCATCGAGCAAGGGGGGATCGTAGGAGGGGGTTCGAAGAACAATGAGTAAAGCAAACCGAAGAATGCACGAGTGCAGTCTGAAGAACTTGGGAATCACGGCCCTGCCCCCTGACCACAAAAACGGCGACGGATAGCTCATCCATGCACGTGCACGCCGAGAGGAAAGCGAGGAGCCTAGCATCGCTTCACCTCCGTGATCCCGACTTTGGGAGCCCGTGGGGCCCGTTGGGCTTCGTGAGGGGTGCTCTGGAGACCCTGAATTGCCTGGCAACACCTTAGGCCAGGGACAGCTTTGGCAACATCCAACTGGTCAGTGAAAACGTATGGCGAAGCAGTCCATCAGAAGAGAACCTCGAGGAGAGGACCTGGAAGCGGAACACGACAAATGAGACTACCGACTGCAGCGGCGGGGACTGCGAGGAGAAGGGCGAGACCTCAACTGAGACGCTCCTTGGCATCGAGCTTTGGGGAAGGCTTCTCCTGCTGAAGTGGCCTGCCCTTGCCAGAGTTAGCGATGATGCTGTCGACCACGGAGGGGGGGACCTCGAGCAAGACGAAACCAGGGAGGCCTACACTAGCAACCGGCAGGACGAGCACCTCGCAGACCCGTGCGCTGACGCGGAGCCCCTTCCTCCCCCTCCCTAGATCCTGCTCAGCACTATCTCTCCCACCTCCTCCCTCCATCCTCTCCCTCCTTGTCCTTCCCCTCCTCCTCCTCCTCCTCCTCGTCCCCCCGTCCCTTCTCTCCTCCATCCCCTCCGTCCTGCCCTCACTCCTCCCCCTCCCTCTTGCTGCACCTCCCTCCTCCGCCCCCCCCCTCCATCCTCCAACCCTTCCCTCCCTCCTCCCGCGTCCGCCCCGTCCCTCCACCTCCGTCGTATCTTCCTCCTCCTCCTCCTCCTCATCCTCCGCTTCCTCTCTCGCTTCCTCCTTCTCAGCCTCCACATCCTCCTCCTCCTCCTCCTCCTCCTCCTCCTCCTCATCCACCTCCTCTTCCTTATCCTGATTCTTCCTGCAACCTTCCTCCTTCTCACCAATCCTCCTTTCCACCCATCCTCATTCCCATCCCACCTCCCTCCCCCGTCCGCCTCCTCATGTCCCTTCCCTCGTCAGCCTCCGCCATCCCATTCTCCCCCCACAGCCAGCCAGATCAACTCGATCGCTGGTGCGCCGCCCCACCTTGGTCAGGATCAAGCGCGGGTCGCTGGCGCCGCTGAAGGCCCCCAGCATCACTGGGGTTGCGCCGCGGGTTTCGGAACCGACCGGCACCAGGACCAGGACCAGCACGGGCCGACGAAAATGGAGGAGGTTGGGAACGAGAAGAATGAGGAGGGACGAGAAGAATCATAGAGGAGAAGGAGGAGGAGGAGGAGGAGGAGGAAGAAGAGGTTCAGGCTCGGGCCTTCGGACGCCGAGCCGACCAACTGCTAGGACGAGCTCTGTGGCCCCTGCAGAGGGCATGTGGGAGCAAGAGCCCCTTACTAAGGCTTGCCTGGCGCGCGCGGCGGGGGCGTACCACCGTCAGAAGAAGACGGATGTGAACCAGCAAGATGCACGGATGGCATCGAGGCGAAAACACGAGAGGCATGGATGGCATCGAGGCGAAAACGCAAGAGGCACGGATGGCATCGAGGCGAAAACTGCCTCTCGGGAGCCTGCACTGACGCGGAGGGGGCGGCGGGCAGCGGTCCTCGACCTTCAAGAACGCGCGGGCGCGGGCCCTCCACCGCAGCACGGTCCCTCCTCGTTCGCTCGCAAGCTCGCTCGCTCCTTCAAGACGGACAGCGTAAGAGAGGCGGGTTTTGAAAGGCAGAAGGCACCTCGAGATAAAACCTCCTGGAACTCTCAGGCCTGCCGTGCGAAAATGGAATACCGTACGCACAAGCTGGCAGGCATATTGTGACATGTGACTGATTAGTCCGTCGACGTTGGCGCAGCTCGTCGGGATTCAGTTCCACCGAAGAGTAACAAATGAATGCTGACCCCCACATGCACCATGGCCACGGGCGAAAAAGGAGGAGGTGGGGGAGGGGGAGGTGGAGGAGGAGGTGGAGGAGGTGGAGTAGGAGGAGAAAGAGGAGGTGCAGGAGGAGGAGGAGGTGGAAGAGGAGCACGACGAGGAGGAGGGATGAGAGGGGGGAGAGGCCTCGGCCGCTGGGGTGGGGGAGGGCGGGGCCGGGGCCTCTCCTCCTTCGGCTGCCCGCCCGAGACCTCTGCCCGCCCGAGGAGACACATCGCGCCGCTTCGACGATGCATCGGCGGTGCGGCGCGATCCACCAACCTGGGAGCTGAACCCCCCTCTCATAGGGAGGGGGGCGGAAGAGGCCACTGCCACTTGGGGGGAAGCAGAGGCCTCGGCCGCGGGGAGTCAAGAGCAGCTACGCTCGCGCTTTGCGCTGCGCGCAGCGCGAAGCGAGCACGACTTCGCGCTCTTCCGCCGCCACCCCCACCCCCCCTTGGGAGAAGAGGAAAGCAAGGAGATGAGGATGATGATGATGATGAAGAATCGCGAATCGCGAACATCGAATAGTTTCGCTGTTGGTGAAGCTTGACTGCTCTGCGAGGCTTGCTGGGGACATCGAGATCTGCAATGACGCCATGCTCGGCATCGGCCTCCCCAGGACGTGTTGCCGTGCCATATACGACCTCGTCTACGAGATCCTGGCCTTCTCACATGCTGGCGCCACCATACTCCTTGGCTTGTTGGCCTTTGCACTGTTAGAGAGGGCTCGCCTGTCGGCATAAAAGGTGCAGTTGGGCGCCATATTCCACAGACGCCAATCGTCCCTGGATACCATCGCCTGCTAGTGGGCCCGTGATATTGGTCGTTGGATCTTGGGCTCGCGAAGCTCGAATCCCAATTGTTGCGTTTGCCTCATGAAACTTCGACTTTATCGAAATCACTGCCTATGTCTCATAGTGCGTTTGCTATGCTGGAGCTGCATGGACGACGATGCAACGGCCGCGTGCCTTGGCCCCCTTAGTCTCAACATAGAGCTGATCCAACTGTCTCACCACTTCCGCAGGAACGTCGCGGACGTCGCAGTATTTGTTCCGGAAATGCTGGGGGCGTCCGTGTACGACGTCACTGCCACCTCCTCAAAAGAAAAAAGAAGAGGAATATATGGAATAGGGAGCGGAGGAGGGAAAAGGAGAGGAAACAGGGAGAGGGATGATAACGTGAAGGAAGACACACTAACAAACAACTAATTCGGACTTCCTCGTCGTCGTCCATTTTTGTTCCTCCCCTTCTTCTTCCTCCTCCTTCTCTCGTCGCTATTCCTGCCGTTCCTCCTCCTCCTCCTCCTCCTACTCCCCCTACTCCTTCGCCAACCGCGCGCCGGTCTCCTCGCGACCCCCCAGCGAGGTACTCCTGCAGGTACGCCGGAAAAGGGCGGAGTTCCCTCTCTAGCCACTCGAGGTCCTCGCAATCGCAAGATACGGCGCAGGAGGAGCAACACGAACAGGGGGGAGAGGGAGGCACACAAGAGGAGGAGGAGGAAGAGGAGGATGAGGAAGAATACAAATGTAACCCCAAGATTCATCAAAGATGTCGGAATACACCCTTCCTCCATGTTCCCTCTTCACAGGTCCCATACAACGGCTCATTTCCAATGAGGGACCTGCCTCATTGGAAGACAACCGCGCGAAGACCCTGAAGCTTGACAAAACATTGTTCTCGGTAGTTCAACGCCAAAGATCAACCTGAATGTTGCGTTTTGACAATCCTGAATCGCGCTAGAATGCCATTCCTGCATGTATAGGGAGACGGCCGAGGGGCCGTTCCTATACGGGGTCCGTGGGTAGAAACAAGGGGGGAGACTCTTTTTCCAGGGCAGTGCACAGGGGGCAATGCGCTGTCAGCGTTAATGCCATGAGCCAACACAGCTGCGGCATATGATCTCATATAGTGGGGATATGAGCGGACTTCACACACACACACTCATACCGCCCCGAGACCTGCCAGTTCCACGATGGTCGGCAAGGTTCGGGATCAGAGGTGTGAGGTCCACTCACAACCCCGTCGTATGAACCGCCCCTCCAAACGAGGGAACATCGGCTAGGAAGGTGAGGGAAGGGCGAACCCTGTCACGATATCGTTGAAGGATTGAGAATGGTTCTCCACGGCCCAACGTTCAACTCCAGACTCTGTCCAAATGTTGACACGGTGGTCTAGGAACTGGTTCAGGCCGTTCGCGTCACTGTTGTTTTGACGGATGGCTGCAGAGAGTGAAGTGCTGAAGAATGTCGGAGTCCCCCCACTCACGTCCAGGGCATCTGTGATCTGCAAGAAGAGCCGAACCCAACTGTTTAGTCTTCACATTGCAGAATGTAATACATGCATAGTCGGGGAAACATCCACTGTTGTGTAAGTCAGCAGCATACTTGATGACAAAATCATCGTGATATCCGCCGACCCTGTCGGCGTGTGTGAACGGCTGTGCCATTCGTCGTCGTCGTCGCTGCAATGCTCTAGCGGGCTTGAGGGAAATCGACCCATGTCGCAACCACGTCAAAAGGAAACCCCTTCCCTTTGTCCCTGTCCCAGCGGGGGGGGTCCCGGGGGGGTCCCGGGGAGGTGGGGGTCGCCACCCAAACCCTCCACCTCATTCTTCCAGACCTTCCGTGCTGACCTTCCACCCTCTTGCGCTACCGCAAACGCTGAATCATCTTGAATTGCGTAAGGTTTTCCATGGTTACAATGAACTGTTGGAGGTTCCAGCGAGTTCCAGAACAACGCAAATACATTATGAGACATCGTTCCTTCTCTCCTGTTTCCGCCGCCATCACAGCCTTCACCCTCATCATCCTCATCATCCTCATCATCCTCATCATCCTCATCATCCTCATCATCATCATCATCATCATCATCATCATCATCATCATCATCATCATAATCAGCATCATCAACATCATCATCACCAGCAGCACAATCACGTCACGATCATCGCAAATTTTGCACCAGAGTGCTTTACTGCCAATGCAGATCTAGGACGTATCTTGTTAGCTGGTCGTTGAGGACTTGCCAAGGGGATGCGGGGAGGAGCGAGCGAACTCAACCCCTCGCTCCTCCCCGCACCCCCCAGGCAGGTCCTCTGCTAAAGAAATGCGTCCAAGAGTTGCACTGGCAGTAAAGCACTCTGGTGCAATAGTGGCGATGGTCGTGACGTGATGGTGATGGTGCTGGTGGTGATGATGATGAGGAGGAGGAGGAGGAGGTTAAGGGTGAAGGCTGTGATGGCGGCGGAAACAGAAGAGAATAAGCGATGTCTCAGAACGTATTTACGTTCTTGTGGAACTCGCTGGAACCTGACACAAGCGCATGAAGGCAGCGCACGAGGGTGGAAAGTCATCATCATCATCAGCAACAGCATCAGCAACAGCATCCGCATGATGATCATCATCATCATCACCACCACCATCATCATCATCATCATCATCATCATCATCATCATCATCATCATCATCATCGTCATGATCACCATCGTCAGCAGGTGCCAGTCGCATGTCCTCTTCCAGGGCCGTGGGATTCAGAGTTTGAATGCGCCCCATGCGGCGCCGACCCTAAACCCTAAATAACCCGAGACCCCGAAACATAAACCTCATCATTGACCAGCCCTGGCGGCGGGCCACGCGGCGTGTGCATCGCGTAGGGCGTCGACATATGACGTCGGGTAGGATGTCGACGTAGGGCGCCGGGTAGATAAGCCAAGACTTGAGCGTCTTGTGTTGCAGCCAACTTGGACCCCAAACAGCGTCATCTGGATATATTGTTATGTACTCGATGGTACAATAAATGTGGTGCAATCTATGTGGTGCAATTGATTTTTACCCATGAGTTGACACATCCCACGCTCTTGCAAACATCCCACCCACCCACCCGCAACTTGGTTTGCAAAACCTCTTAAGACCGACTACGACGACACCGACGACAACGACTACGACGACACTGACGACGTCTCCGACGACTTCGACGACGACAACGACGCCGACGCCGACGCCGACGACGAAGACGACGACGACGTCGCCAACGAAGACGACGACGAGGGAGGAGGGAGGATGACGACGGCGACAACGACGACAACGACGAGGGAGGAGGGAAGACGGCGACGACGCGAACGACGAAGAAGAAGGAAGGACGGCGACGCCGACGACGACAACGACAAGGGAGGAGGGAAGACGACGACGACGACAACGACGACGACGACGACGACGGCGACGAAATAGGAGGGACGACGACGAAACGCCGACGACGGACGACGACGACGACGACGAGGGAGGAGGAGGAAGGACGACCACGGCGACAACGACGACGGAAACGACCACGACGCCAAAGAGGGACGACGACGACGAACACGAGGAAAGACAGGGGACGACGTAAGCGACGACGACGACGACGCGGGAGGAGGAAGGACGGCGACGACGACGACGACGCAACAGTGCGCGCGCACGCTGTTGCTGAAAATCCGCGTTGCGAAACTGTATGTTTTGTAGGTCTTCGGGGACACACGATTTTGAAATCCTTCCGAAGCCGATGGGTTTTGAAGGTTTTCGGCATACGCGCGCGACGACGCGCGCGTCTGCACTTCGTCCCGTTCTTTGCAAGGGATTCTCGCGACGGCACACGCGCAAGGGCGTTCGACAGATTTCGACATGCGCGCGCGCGAAGCCCGTTTGGTAGCATGTTGGGAAAATCTTGAAAAAACGTATGGTTTTATTGGGGTTTTTCAAGCAAACCAATTTTGTGAAACCCTGTGTTGTTGTATGTTTCTTGGAAGCTCGATTGCGAAATCCTTCCGGTACCAAGCGTTTTTGAAGGGTTTCGGCATGCGCGCGCGCGACGGCGCGCGCGTGCGCACTCCGTCCCATTTGTTGCGATGGATTCGTGAACAAGTCTTATGTTCGAACAAACAATGTCCCCGCGTATCTTTTTATTTTACAAAGGAACCTCAGGGGGGCCGATCCCGGCCCCTCCATGATAGTGTGTAAATTCATATTTCGGATGGACATGTGGTCATAATCATGCATGATTTACATACCCGAAGGGGGGAGGGGATGACGCCGGGGGGGGGTAGAGTCGATTGTCTTTTTAGAAAAGAGAGTCGTGCACGTGAGACACACGCTGCACTTGACGCCATCTCACCCGCGATTTGCGAACCGACGCGGGCGACGACTGGCGGCCCCGCGCCGACGTGCATCGGCCCGCGCATCACGCGGGCGCGGGTGGATGACGGTTGGGCGGGGTCACCCGTCATCGCTGACGTCATCGCGGATGACGGGTGCGATGGCGCCTCAAATAATGGGCGCCATGGGATTGTGCTGAGAGGGTGGGGATGGGGAAGAGGAGGAGGAGGAGGAGGAGGAGGAGGAGGAGGAGAAGGAGCAACGGGCGGTGCCCAATGCGCGCGGAGCGCAGTTGTGCGGGCCCGCGCGCGGGGCGACTGGTGCAGATCAGTCACGCTCCTCCCTCATCATGGTTCCTCTTCCTCTCCTTCCTCATCCCCTCATCCCTCATTTTTGGCATTGTATTGGTATTCATATCCGCCCCCGAGCTGTTGCGCTGCACAGCGTGATGCCCCCATTGGGCAAGCGCGCGCGCGGCGGCAAGGGCAAGGAGATGGCTTTGAAAGCTGCCAAGGGCTTCCAGTAGGGCATAGAAAGCTCGGGCCTCCGATATGCATCCAGAGAATTTTCGAATGCGCCCCCGACGCATTCGAGCACTGGGACCATGGGGGCCCTCCAGAACCGGCAGCGAGAGCCTCCGGAAGGCATGCTAGGGCCCCCATGGATGGACATCCCGGGAGCCTCGTTCGGCGTCCTCAGTGGCCTCTGATGGGGGCCCCGAGAGCTTGAAGGAAGCCTCGCGAAGGCGCCGCTGGACCACCCCACAGCTTCGAAGTTGGCCCAAAACCTTGGACATGGGCCCCACATCACTCTGAAGCTCGAACTGCATTGCTTAATTATTTGCTGTGTACTCGCTCAGAATACCTTGTATTCGCCTAGGCTCGCCTATGGTTGCCTTAAATATGTCAGGTTACCTTGCGTTTGCTCAGATTACATTGCATTCGCCTGGGCTCGCCGAGGACTGCCTGAAACAATTCAGATTGCGTTGGGTTCGGTCGGTTTGCCGTGGCCCCCCTCTAACTGCTTTAGATGATCTTACCTTGCTTTGGATTCGCGCCAAGTGCTTGGATTATTTCGAGTCCCCGAGATTCGTCGAGATCCCACTGGGAGTTTGCTGCGCAGTAATCAGAGATACGCATACTTAGATATAATATTAAGTAGGCTCGAAAGGGTTCTGTTTGTTTTTCACTGAGGTTGCACTGGTTTCCCTGGCGATGTCGTGGTGCTTGGCACTTCTGTTTCGTGCGATTTGCGGAGTTGCCCATACATTGTCCGAGAACATATGAGTTTTGGGGGGGT